AAAATTGTTGGTTTGATTGGGGCGTCACCATTTTTACACACCTAAACAACAATAAATAATATACTGAAATGACATGTATATGCATATGCATAAACATATAATTATGTATATATATAGGATCACCATAGATATGTCACCAGTGGGCCGAAAGAAACAACAAAACTCTCCAGCTCCAACATTGCCCTGGGCCAACCTCTTTGAAAATCGACCGGGAGAAAACCAATGGAAAACCCATGGTATTTGCCGTCCTTCAAATTGGATTTCAATACCAGGAATATCTACCCAATTTTTTAATTGGGTCTACGTTCGCCGGGTAGATTCGGGAAAAAATGTTTTTCAAAAACCAATGGCTGGTAGATGTTTTGCCATAGAATCCCATAGAATCACAACAGATGGGGAATCCATAGAATCACAACAGATTTCCCATAGTTTTCCCATAGAACCGATGGCCGAATCACAACAGAACTCTGGTGAATTGTTCCAACAGATGGGGGATTTCCCCCAGCTCCAACCGCAAAGGCTTCGGAAGCGAGCCGAAGCGTTGGCGCGGGGCCGGTGAAATGGAGATTTAGCACAGCAAAATGTCCTCCGATTGATCCAGTGGTGAATGGAGAGAGCGGTAAATGGAGCAATGGTTGTATTCATGTTCAATGTTACCCCTCGCCCCTCTCTCTCTCTATATATATATATATATGTATTATATGATATATTGTATATTATATACACATACATACATGTATATATATATATATACATACATACACACACACACACATATACTTCCTTCTGAATAAAATGAGGAAACTGAGGAACCACTTGGAGCTACGAATGGAGTTTTCCAAGCACAACAACATGGTGGGCAAAGGATTGATTTCGCCAAAGGATGGGGATTTCCCAGCTAAATCACCAAAGTTTTGGACATAGCATGATATTAAGGTCAGTTATAAAAAAACAATTTGCATATATATATATATACACATGAGATCACAGGGAGTCGCCCTGCATCATCGGTGATCCAAAGAATGGATCCAGCACTGCTGCCAAAGCAGCAGCTCATACCCGGTGATCAAACATGGCAATGGAACATGATCAACTTGGAGTTTATAAACTACCACAAACCTAACGTGACATAGATAGTAGATAGAGACACATGGAAACACACCTTATTGTGTATTTCAGCCCTACCATGAGAATTAATTAACAATTTTGTTGAATGTGACAGTATGTTATAGTTATAAATGATTGATAGACCTATAATGTATATATATATATATATATGTATGTATATGGATGGATAGACATGCATGCTTATTTTCAAGCCGATAATGCTAGATACAAACTCCCTCCAACTTTCACATCGACCCTGCTATGAGTTGGGAGTTGGAAGACTGCCATGAGTTGGGGCTGGGCGATTCTCAGGATCTTTGTTTGGGGGTTGGTACTTATGCAAAACAAAACACAAGCAAAATGCCAAGAGAATTATTCAATGCCAAGGGATTTACTTCAAACTTGTGAGTTTCATTGCTATAGGTTGGCATGACCAGAGGGTAGCGGTTTCACCTCGGACAAGCTGCGAATTTGTGGGTTGTCCGTGCCAGAAAAGATGGCATGGGATGGGATGCTGTTCCTCTGGGTGAGTGGACTTGCAAAAAAATAGGCAAAATGTAGTTCGATATGCTATAGTTGTTATATTTGGAGGTCTGTAATACGCAGTCTAATAGGGGCGTAGACGGCAAAAGTTTGAACATGTTACTCAGTGACCGAGGAGGTTTCCACATCAATAGAATGTTGCGAAGTGCGAAGTCAAAAAACAAAGACAGGATAAACATGTACGTCATTTGTTGCCTCAGTTCTTGTGGATCCATTTTTTTTGTAGGGGCCCATCATTGGAATAGGCCATCCTTTCGAAGATCATTACTTTTCTATCCCTGGGATGATTCGTATCGCTGTATCCCTCGTAGCCTAAGGGGTAACATGGCAAGCCGGAGAATCAGCAAAATGAAGGATCGACATCATGAGAAACTGGGCCCTCGAAAAAGCATGGCAAGCTGGAAAATCTACTTAACACAACTCAATGGTCAATGGAGGTTGATAGCTGGGAAAAATTACGATTTTCCATTATCATGTTGGATTACCAGAGGGGGCCAATGTTTTTTTGCTTCCAGTCTGACTGGGCAACTGTTTGGCAAGCTATCGCCAATAATTTATTTGCAGGGGGTGCATGATGCAGGTTGTATACTCGAAACATACATGCGAGCATTGAGTATGATCACAACTAGGCCTTTAGCCGGTTTCATGGCATATTTGGTCAGTCGAGGATTCTTGGTGGCCTGTTTGAGGACATTGGCCCAACTCTGCAACGTTAGGTACAGATGTATATACATACACACATGTGTATATATACTCTATATATACACAAACACACAAAATAGCTGATTACAGGCAGGTGGCTGGACTTGGGTCCAAATTTCTAGTGGTTCCTCCGGCACGGTGACGCGCATCGTGAGTCAGAGGCCTGGTGGAGGGAGCTGTGCTGAGTTTGTTGTGCAAAATTTGGATATAATGGGGACGGGATATGGAATGATATGGATGATTATTGATGCAACCTTTAATGCAAATGGATGACTATGTACATGGAAGATTGTAAACAAGAATGTTGGTAGACTATGGTCGATTGGGATATGTATATATATATATATACATAGCCAATCATATTCTATAATTGGTTTTTTTTAATCAATGGTGATGTTACCCTCTGGTAAATTGTCCACACCAACACGAACCCCCATCGGGAAATCCAACAAGAATTCTGCAGACAGAAAATCACGGATTGAACCCACATTTTTTGTTTTTACCGACACAGATGGACATTGAACCAACAGATTTTTCATAGAGTTCACCAACGAAATGAGGATATGCACTGTAAGGTGAATTCGTTCAAGAGGTTTGGTGATATCCCAACTCAAATCGGTATTTCCCCGAATCGTCCTTTCCGATTTTCATCATTTGACAAAGTAGTGGTCAGAAGCGAGGAATGGGACGATGTCAAAAAACTGTCCGATTTCGGTTGAGGCAGCCATGGGCGGCAGAATTACTGTAGCAGCTGCTTTGCTTGGGGGTTTCAAACATTCGTGATATTTCCGCCCCTAGGCCCTAGTTGTAGTGACCTCGCTGCCATAACTGATGGTAACGCAGTGGCTGATTCGAGGCCGACCATTTAAGGGATCATTTTCCCGATCTATGGCCAGGTTCTAACAAAACATGCACTTTATTATATATATATAGATATTAAGGGCCCCCATCTTTTTTTTTGGTGTCATGTGAGATCATGTCTCTTCAACGGATCCAGTTCCCCTTTCAGGACTGACCAAAGTCTTTGTCTCGGGAGAGGAAGGATGCTTAATGCCTGTCCGTATTGTCTCTGAAACACATTTTGTTTCATTTTGTTGATTCCCTTCCGGTTCTTGTTCGTAAAGTAGAACAACTACTGTATTTTGTCTCAAATCAAAGTGCTTTTCATTTTTGGCCTCGCTGGTTCAACCTACCATTCTCATGGCCTGTATGGATCCAAAAGGTACTTGTATGGTAAATCATGTAAAATCCTCGGTTCTCCAGGTGTTTGTTGGGTAAAACCTCACTTGGGGGTATCTAAACTGGGGGATCCCCAAGTCATTGTCATGACTTGGATAAAAAAGGGGCTAGCCCCATGACTTAGGAAACCTCCACTTGGAGCGATCCCCACCGTGACATTATTTTGTCATAGTAGTTTCTGATGGCATATATTTTCTGACATTCTTTTCTGGTATTCTATTTGGCATCCTTTCTGACATCCTATTTGGCATCCTTTCTGGCATCTATTCTGACATTTAATTCTCTGGCATTCTATCTGGCATTCTTTCTGATAATCTATTTGGCATCTATTCTGACATTCTTTCCGGCATCTCTTCTGACATTCTTTCTGGCATTCTATCTGGTATATCTTTGGAGATTCTTTGTGGTTGAGGTCTGGCGGGGAACACTCTGATCCTGAGCTTGCTGTTCGGGTCCGGCGGGGAACACTGCGATCTAGCGCTTGCAGTTGGAGGAGGCGGCGGGACAGCTGACATAAAATCTAACAACCCTCACTTGACAGGTAGGGAAAAACATCGACCATATGACTGCGATGATGATCCCCGAATGACTTGGTGCCTGGGTCAACCCACCAACCAGATATCATGGTTGGTGATTTCCGCATTCTACCTTTGCCAGTGAAGACTTTGTTGGGAAAATACCAATTCTGACTGCAAGCGTGAGTTCCTTGTGTTTCATCCATCAGACTCAATGCCAAGGTAGCCCCCAAGTACAGAATCCTACTGCATTTCCTGCTTACAAGAGAGGGGATGCAGGAAGCAGCCACACATGTGGAGAAAGGTCAGGGGTAGGTGAAGGGGTATACCTTGAACAAGGTACTACCTTGCGTTTGAAACTTTACATGGCATGGCATCTAGAAAAAAATGCAAGGCACCGTGAAAAAGATGGACTATTTCCAAAAACATTGAAAAGGAATTAATGCAAAGGATTGTACAGAGAGAAATTGCAAAAGGCAATGCCACTTGAAAAAGGGAAGCTTCTTGGCAAAGACCAAGACTGATCTGACTTGAGATACAGGAAGCAAAAAGGTGTGTGCTGGTCTGTAACTTTTGATTTTGGGCTGGAAAAGGGTTGGTTTTCAGATTGATTTTTGCCTTCAAATTTGTTGATAGTTGATTGCCCATGAAACTTCTTAAACCTCCCTCTAATTCATTGGTATCCCGTGAAATACCCCATGAAATTCTATCAAATTCCATGGAATGGCCATAGCATCCCCATGAAATCCCGTGAAATCTCACAAAATTTCATTGAACCCCGGAAAATCTCCATTAAAGTCATGAAAGGTCCCTAAAATCCCATCAAACCACCGTTAAATCCCATCAAGTTCCCATGCAATCCCAATGAAAACCCAGTGAAATCGACGGCGATTCAGCTGCTGGGCTCGGCACCGGCGTGGGGCGCTGGGGTGCCGCCGAAAACGCGCGCCATGTCCTTTGCTGCGAATCTGACGAAGATCGTGGCAGGCGCCGATTGGTGTAAGATTGGTGTAGGATTGGTGTAGGATTGGTGGATTCCTGAAGCCCGGTTGATGACAGTACGCATAAATGGACCAATACTGGATGAAATATGATGAAATCATGGTGAAATGACGAGTTGGCTATCTGTGATTTCTGAAGCCTGGTTGACTGGTTCGGGAATTATGATCATGCTTTACCGTGGTTTGACTATGAAGAATATGGGGATATAGGTGATGAATGATGGCTAGTGGCTAGTTGATGAGTTGGGGGATTGTACCAACCAAGATTAGTTGGGAGCTATCACAGTCCATGGATGGGGAATTCGTATCAACCAACTCGTGGTTAGGAGGGAACGTTTTGGAGCTGTGGGTATTCCCTATTAGCCAAGGGGAGCTGTGGGGAGCCACATTCAGAGTCTCCCAACAGATGATAGTATGAGTATGCATGAGTCAAAACCGTGGTGAACATCAAGAAAAACTATGATAGTCATTTTCGACAGAAAACAAGGCATGGCATGGGAATACCATGGGATATTGACGAATGATTCTTCTGTATGTATAAAATTATATAAATGCAAATCAATCAAACATTTGCGCACGTCAAAAAACAACAATATCGGTCTGTTTGCGCCAATTGCTGGGTGCATTTGAAACCAATACTGCAAGAGGTTGATTATTTATCAAACTCGGGGTGCGTAGCCCAGATATTTTTCTTTTGTTAAAACCACCCCGTTTTGGATGATTTTGGGATGTTTCCCATTCCAAGAAACACCTGTTCTTAATGATGGGTTCACCCAATGGCCCAATGGGATTTCCCTTCCATTGGGCCAATGGGGAGTTCTGTAATGTCAACCCGGAGACAAAAACCATGCGTTAATGTTGGGGGTACTCGTACTCCCCCAACATTTCATCTGATACTTAAGTAATACCCCCCAACAGCCGTTTGGGGTTTATTAATCCAGGGTTGACATCAGATATGATCTGATGATCTGTAGTATGTTTCCAGCTCGCGTCCAAACCCGACTTCTATCCATGGCGCTGCCCAGGGAAGAAGTCGGAGATTGCGGATCGGGAAAAGATTGCCCAGTCCTGGAAGGATAAGGAGGTCCAACGCGATATGCATGGGTTCCCATGGGTTCCATCCCAGGAACAGAAACTCTGGCCCAGTTACTTAACCATTAAAAATCCACCTCGACCTCGTTTCAGGGTTTCCAGTGCTGGTTTAACAGATACCCAATCCAGCACGCGACTTTGAAATATCCGCGCCCTTTTATATTGGCTACGCTTAAATCCCAAGTGTTTGGTAATCAAATCACCAAAACACATGTTTTTGATGGTTAAATCACAATTTTTGTTAGTTACATGTTGGTAAAACCACAATTTCTGTTGGTTTTTTGTTGCTTACGCCCCCATCTTTGATTGGTGAACATGCCTTTTTGGTTGTGATGCTCTGACTTTGGACCAACTCCAATCCATCGTTTGTTCAGAAAACATCCCATGAATTCACACTAAATCCACAGATTCACATTTTCCACATCCACACATCCATTGTTTACATCATTTTTACCTATATATTTTACTGCTTAAATCCCTCTTCTTGGTTCAAGCATGGCCTTGCCGCTTCAGGCCAAACTCCTAGAGGAGGCGGTGAACTTGTTTCTCGGTGGATGTTTTTTCGGCATTTTGAGCATGAAAAATGGTGGAACATGAGGATTTTAGACCATGAAACATAGTGAAAGACGAGGGATTTGATGTGATTTCACCATCAATGGGATGTAGGTATAGAACCTAATATAGATAAACTTCGATTTCAGCAGTTTAAAGCCAGAAGCTCATGTTGAGTTTTTTTTGGGGAGGGGATTGAATGGGGGTATGATTAGTTGGTGGTTTCAAGAACTTCTGAGGGGTCAAGCTTTAACATCAAACCTGGCTTTGTAAAGGTCACAAGCAATCATTGACTCATGCTTTGATGGTTTTTTGGAGGCTGACCCATGGTTTAATAGTGTTCAATATCATTCACCAATTTTGGCTGATTTGAAGGTTTGATCACCAATAACTAGCTTGACGCATGATTAGCAATATCTTATATCTTTGGTGAACACCTGAAAAAAACATAGAAACGCAAGAATTAATCCCAGGTTGGGGTTAAATATAGACCAAGCTAACCCATCAAGAAGCCAGTTGAGGACGGGATTTCCCATTCATGGATTGTGGTAGCTCCCAACTAATCTTGGTTGGTACAATCCCCCAACTCATCAACTATTCATCATTCATCACCTATATCCCCATATTCTTCATAGCCAAACCCCTGTAAAGCATCATGATAATCCCGGAACCAGTCAACCAGGCTTCAGAAATCACCATGATTTCAGCCAGTATTGGTCCATTGACTACCAAACCAACCAGGGTTTCAGAAATCACCGATCAACCAACCGAGGTTCAAGTCGCGCTGCGTCAAGGAGGCGGAGCTACAAAAGACGGACGCCACCATTTCCTTCGAGGTGGCCACTTTTTGAATGGTCGATTTTTGAAACATCGTAATTGGACAACTATAGTTAGTGGTTTTGTGTCAGAAACATATATTATCATATATTATATTTTGAATTATCTTGAGTATTAAACCAACTTATACAGGCTGCTGGTGATTTCTTAATATGAAAAACATATCCATTTTGGGGATTCTACAGTATGTCATTTCTAGTACATTTACGGGGATTTTATATCATGTCTAGTATAAAACTCCTTTTTTTTCGCATTTTCATTGGATTGAACCAAACTTAAATGTATTTCATCCGAGAGCGTGAGGGGGAGCAACTTGAAAGTCTGAATCCCATGAGTTAAATCATGCATGAATACAGGTATGAATGTGAATTGTGAATATCTACGAAATTCATTGAAATTCTATAGATATATAAATTGTCAGCACATATATATATAAATACCATAGGAGTATATGAATAAATAGTATATGTTTCATGAATTTGTCAGAGCAGCCCGGAAACCTCCGCAGGTCATCACTCGGGAGACTCCGGACTTTCCAAAGAGGATCCTTACGGCCGCCTGGACAATCCCCAGGGTTCGGGTCGGGTGGACTGGATGGCGCCAAGGAAAAATGGTGGTAGACTGGGGATACCATGGGGTACAATGGAGATTTCATGTAGATTTCATGGGATTTTCAATGAGATTTAATGGGATTTAATGGGACTTTCCCCGTCGAAGTCTTGAAAACTTCCACTATGTCTAGTTTCGCTTTGCTGATAACAAATCAGTGAAAGAAATAGCGGATAACCGCCAAAAAACGCCGCCACGGAATAATTACGCGCACAGCAAACAAATTAGAGTACCATATTATGTTAGCTCGCAGCAGAATGAATATCATAAAAATTGAATGCAACCTTTCACAACAAACAAAAAACTTCGAAATAACTTCGAGGTAACTTCAAACGAGGTCCCAAGTTTGCCTAGGACTCCACTTACTTCGTAGACAGCTGGCCCAACGGCACCACCGCGGAGAGCTGGTTCTACGCCACGCGGGGGGTGAATTCCTCATGGTCACCTGGGGCGCCAATCCTGTTCGCTGAGGCGCTGGGATGGAGCATGATTTCGCCAGGAAGATAGTGGAAAAGAGATGAACATAGAACATATGGGAAAATATGTGATTTAAATGGATTTGGTATTGGACCATGATTTCTTACCCAAAAGCCAGCAAAAATTGGGATTGAACTATATTTAGTCAAAAACATTGGATATTCCACCAACTTTTTTTTGACCAAAAGAGTTAGGAATTTAGCCAACAAATAATGACATATTTTACTAACAACAGTGGAGGTTTAACCAACGGTGGAGATTTAAGCAACTAACATGTTTGTGTTTACCCAGGAAATTGGGCTTAAGCAACAAACATTGGTCAAATGTTCTCAACCTCCCATGATTTAATGTTCAACATAATGATATTGTTAACTTATGGAAGCTGTGGAGTATCGCCAACGGCCCCATGGCCAGTTCCTGTTGGTGTCCCATCGCCCTGGAACCGTGAAGAAAACACCAGTTTATGCTACGGGGCAGACAGTGGACATATGATTTGAGTTGTAAATTTGGTCATTTAGTATAGCTACGGAAAATTGATAATTGTTTGAAAGCAGAACTAAATGGTCCATTTTCATCCATCGTACATAGCTATGGCTATGTTAAATTACCGAAGGGTAAACATATGTAGAGATCATGTCGTTCAGGAACCCATGTATTAGTTGTATTATGGATATAGAGATCACGTATCTAATGCATGGAGAATAGATACGATATGGAAATTCCATCATTTCTAATGTTAGTAAAGCAATAGGATTCACCATCTCTTCATTTTTTCCGGTTTCATGGATGGGATTGAAACCATCAACCTATATGCGTGATTTATGACATTGCTTTAGTAACATAAAAACTACCTAAGTTGATATGAGAGTTGGGTTTGTTGATGTTAGGGGATTCCATGATTTGTTGTTCAGACCATGGAACAACCAGGTCCCACTGGAAACGCCACCTCGATTCCACCCTGCGCAAGGTGTTGCAGGCGATGCTGCCGAAGTTTGTGGAACGAGTGAAGGATCGCAAGGGGCGTTTGATGTGGGGAACATATTTGGTTTGTAGATGGTTGATACTTGCAATGATTAATAATAGTTAATATGATAGTATTATTATAGTATTAATCTACATCTGATGTTTTATTCCCCACATCTTTTTGTGGGGTTCTTGTTTTTGGTTCTGTATCCCGTCCGCGTCCTCCTCCTGCTCCGCGCGCGCTTTGTCACACACACACACAACTTTGTCACACGCACACACGGCTGGTCGCCGGTGACGCCACAGCACTTTGAGTGGCAGGTGTGGCACTTGGTGACATCCACCTTCCTTTGCGTGGCAGGGGTGGCACTTGGCGACATCAACCTTCGTTTTTGCGGGGCAGGCGTGGGACTTGGCGACATCGACGTTGCGTTTGCGTGGCAGGGCGGCACTTGTGGCACTCTCTCACACACACAACTTTGTCACGCACAACTTTGTCCTTCGTTTGGCGTGGCAGGCGTGGCACCTGCTCTAACGCTTTCACACACACACAACTCTTTCATTCACACAAACTTCAACACACAGCTCTTTCACATGCAAATTTGTCACGCACACATCTCTTTCACGCACAAACTTGAACACACACACACACACTTCCACACACAACTCTTCCACACACAACCTTTTACACACAATTCTTTCACACACAGCGGTTCACACAAAACTCTTTTACACACAACTCCTTCACACATTGCCTTTCACGCGCGACTCTTTCACACACAACATTGTCACACACACACACAGCCTTTCCTTGTCACGCACACACATCACTCTTTCACACACAGCTCTATCACATACAGTTCTTTCACACAACCTGTCTTCCGCCATCTCATTTCTTTCCCTATCCAATTTTCACACCTGTTTTGAGCTTGTTGGAAGAAGTTGGCATGTGGGGTTATCCGGTCCTTTAATTATAATGGTCAAAACCCTCTGGTGATTCAACGTAGCGAACTGGAAACTCACCATATTTAGTAGTAGGTAAGTCATCATCAATCATCTATAAGTGGGCCATTTCCCATAGCTATGTTCAATAACCAGAGGGTAATGGTTAATAATTTCGGACATCGTGGGGGATCACCCGCAAAACATTTGAAGGATTTGGTTTGGAATGGTGAATGAGTGCGGATTTAAACGTTCCCAAAGCACCTTTGTTGCTTCTATCACCATGTTCCTTAGCTTAACCCTCGTAACATCTCCATATCGTGCATCTCCGCTCCACTTCGAGACGCACATCCCAGTAGACTTGCCACATTCTTCAATCACCACCGGGCCCCAAATCCCCGACAAATGGATCCTCCTTCAAATTTTAGCTACGTAAAGGGGAGGACTTGGGCTACAGTACAGAATGCCAGCCAGGGGTCGTTTTGTACAAAAAGGAGGAGTTGGGACCACCTTTTTGTATTTGCATTCATTTTGTAGTTGATTCCTTTCAAATCCTCATGTGCATTTTGTAGTTGTATATGTTGAAGTGAGAAGAGGTGGAAAAAGGAAACAGTGCGTGACATGTACATGGATACAAACAGATCATGAAGCCACAGAATGCCATCTAACAAACTGCACGGGGTCAACACTTGATCCAACTAAATTCAATCACTGACAACTACAAAATGTTCTCCGAAATTATGTTGGTCGGAACTTTGGATGGCATAGACCCAACTACAAAATGTCATTGGGAAAATTCATGTTAGCAATTCCGATTTTCAGCTATTTATTAGCTTCAGATGCATTGGATTTTGTAGTGCTGAATTTTGAATTATTTTCCGAGTCAGAAAAGGTTGTGTTCTGTATTTTGTAGCTGCAAAAAAGGTACCATGCACTGAATTTTGTAGTTGCGCACCGTATGCATTGCGTTTTGTACCTACCAAAAGCCTCTGCACAACTCCTCCCCCCTTATCTGAACCCTGATACAAATAGTTTATTACAAATGGAATTTTTAATTGGATAATCCCATGTAAATAGGGGCATTTTCATTGCTATGTTTGACTACCGAAGGTTAATAGACTTGTTTTCTGCGATTCACATTATGAGCCCCCTGCAATACACTCACACTTGCACACGGCTTAAATAGGCCGTTTTCTCCGTATTTTTTCTCCACATTTGTCATTATATATTACTACCGCAAAGTAGTACGCAACAGCGGTAAGTTGGGTGAATTGATTTTACCAATTTTCACCCATGCCGCAGTAGAAAATATCAATCTTCTGTAAACCCAGCAGGTAGCCTAGTTATTTCAATTACCTTACTTTAATCAAACTTGGCGTCTGGAAACTGCCCAAGCTAAATGGAGGTTTAGTTCGGTGGGAACATCCTCCATAATTGCTCTGGCAGGATTCTGCTTTGAAATTGTATACCACCATCACTTCTGCCAGCTTTTGAACAGTCTGGTTGAGCACCCGTTTTGGATGATTCGATCGCCATTTCTCACTTGTTTAATTTAAATCCAACTGTTTTTTGTTGCTTCCCACTGCAATTTCTCTTGGTCCCAGCCACGTGTTGCCACATTTTCGTATATTTTATAACAAGTTTCCACCTTTTTGACATGTTTTTCTCGCATTTTCCACCTTTTTCCACCATTTTCCCAGCTTTTTCCACCATTCTTCCCCTTACCATTCGAATCGTGAGGACTTGGGCTTCCAGGAGTGCAACCACGAGGCGGGCACCTGGAAGGTGGCCGTCTGCTGGCCCAATCCCGACGAGAACTCGGCCGTGCCTTGGAGAACGCTGACCGACGGTGACGATATCTGATCGTGAACCAATGGGATATGGTTAACCTTGTTAATATATGAAATAATGGGATATTGGA